AGATTAGGGCTCCAGACACCAGATCAGGGTTCCAAACACCAGATCAGGGTTCCAAACACCAGATCAGGGTTTCAAACACCAGATCAGGGTTCCAAACACCAGATCAGGGTTCCAAACACCAGATCAGGGTTCCAAACACCAACTATGGGTTCCAAACACCAGATCAGGGTTCCAGACACCAGATCAGGGTTCCAGACACCAGATCAGGGTTCAAGACACCAGATCAGGGTTCCAGACACCAGATCAGGGTTCCAGACAATAGATCAGGGTTCCAAACACCAGATCAGGGTTCCAAGCACCAGATCAGGATTCCAGACACCAGATCAGGGCTCCAAACACCAGATCAGGATTCCAGACACCAGATCAGGGCTCCAAACACCAGATTAGGGCTCCAAACACCAGATCAGGGTTCCAAACACCAGATCATGGTTCCAGACACCAGATCAGGGTTCCAAACATCAGATCAGGGTTCCAGACACCAGATCAGGGTTCCAAACTCCAGATTATGGTTCCAAACATCAGATCAGGGTTCCAGACACCAGACCTAGGTTCCAAACACCATATCAGGGTTCCAGACACCAGATCAGGGTTCCAGAAAACATATCAGGGCTCCAGACACCAGATTAGGGCTCCAGACACCAGATCAGGGTTCCAAACACCAGATCAGGGTTCCAAACACCAGATCAGGGTTCCAAACACCAGATCAGGGTTCCAAACACCAGATCAGGGTTCCAAACACCAGATCAGGGTTCCAAACACAAGATCAGGGTTCCAGACACCAGATCAGGGTTCCAGACACCAGATCAGGGTTCCAGACACCAGATCAGGGTTCCAAACACCAGATCAGGGTTCCAAACACCAGATCAGGGTTCCAGACACCAGACCTAGGTTCCAAACACCATATCAGGGTTCCAGACACCAGATCAGGGTTCCAGAAAACATATCAGGGCTCCAGACACCAGATTAGGGCTCCAGACACCAGATCAGGGTTCCAAACACCAGATCAGGGTTCCAAACACCAGATCAGGGTTCCAAACACCAGATCAGGGTTCCAAACACCAGATCAGGGTTCCAAACACCAGATCAGGGTTCCAAACACCAGCTCTGGGTTCCAAACACAAGATCAGGGTTCCAGACACCAGATCAGGGTTCCAGACACCAGATCAGGATTCCAGACACCAGATCAGGGTTCCAGACACCAGATCAGGGTTCCAGACAATAGATCAGGGTTCCAAACACCAGATCAGGGTTCCAAGCACCAGATCAGGATTCCAGACACCAGATCAGGGCTCCAAACACCAGATTAGGGCTCCAAACACCAGATCAGGGTTCCAAACACCAGATCAGGGTTCCAAACACCAGATTAGGGCTCCAAACACCAGATCATGGTTCCAGACACCAGATCAGGGTTCCAAACATCAGATCAGGGCTCCAAACACCAGATCAGGGTTCCATACACCAGATCAGGGTTCCAAACACCAGATTATGGTTCCAAACATCAGATTATGGCTCCAAACACCAGATCAGGGTTCCAAACACCAGATCAGGGTTCTAAACACCAGATCAGGGTTCCAGACACCAGATCAGGGTTCCAGACACCAGCTCAGGGTTCCAAACACCAGATCATTGTTCCAAACACCAGATCAGGGTTCCAGACACCAGACCTAGGTTCCAAACACCATATCAGGGTTCCAGACACCAGATCAGGGTTCCAGAAAACATATCAGGGCTCCAGACACCAGATTAGGGCTCCAGACACCAGATCAGGGTTCCAAACACCAGATCAGGGTTCCAAACACCAGACCAGGGTTCCAAACACCAGATCAGGGTTCCAAACACCAGCTCTGGGTTCCAAACACCAGATCAGGGTTCCAGACACCAGATCAGGGTTCCAGACACCAGATCAGGGTTCCAGACACCAGATCAGGGTTCCAGACACCAGATCAGGGTTCCAGACAATAGATCAGGGTTCCAAACACCAGATCAGGGTTCCAAGCACCAGATCAGGATTCCAGACACCAGATCAGGGCTCCAAACACCAGATTAGGGCTCCAAACACCAGATCAGGGTTCCAAACACTAGATCAGGGTTCGAAACACCAGATTAGGGCTCCAAACACCAGATCATGGTTCCAAACACCAGATCAGGGTTCCAAACACCAGATCAGGGTTCCAGACACCAGACCTAGGTTCCAAACACCATATCAGGGTTCCAGACACCAGATCAGGGTTCCAGAAAACATATCAGGGCTCCAGACACCAGATTAGGGCTCCAGACACCAGATCAGGGTTCCAAACACCAGATCAGGGTTCCAAACACCAGATCAGGGTTCCAAACACCAGATCAGGGTTCCAAACACCAGATCAGGGTTCCAAACACCAGATCAGGGTTCCAAACACCAGCTCTGGGTTCCAAACACCAGATCAGGGTTCCAGACACCTGATCAGGGTTCCAGACACCAGATCAGGGTTCCAGACACCAGATCAGGGTTCCAGACACCAGATCAGGGTTCCAGACAATAGATCAGGGTTCCAAACACCAGATCAGGGTTCCAAGCACCAGATCAGGATTCCAGACACCAGATCAGGGCTCCAAACACCAGATTAGGGCTCCAAACACCAGATCAGGGTTCCAAACACTAGATCAGGGTTCGAAACACCAGATTAGGGCTCCAAACACCAGATCATGGTTCCAGACACCAGATCAGGGTTCCAAACATCAGATCAGGGCTCCAAACACCAGATCAGGGTTCCAGACACCAGATCAGGGTTCCAAACACCAGATCAGGGTTCCAAACACCAGATCAGGGTTCCAAACACCAGATCAGGGTTCCAAACACCAGATCAGGGTTCCAAACACCAGCTCTGGTTCCAAACACCAGATCAGGGTTCCAGACACCAGATCAGGGTTCCAGACACCAGATCAGGGTTCCAGACACCAGATCAGGGTTCCAAACACCAGATCAGGGTTCCAGACAATAGATCAGGGTTCCAAACACCAGATCAGGGTTCCAGACAATAGATCAGGGTTCCAAACACCAGATCAGGGTTCCAGACACCAGATCAGGGTTCCAAACACCAGATCAGGATTCCAGACACCAGACTTAGGTTCCGAACATCTCACCGTCGACAACAGTATTCGAAGAACACACGCAACAGGGCAAGCTGTCATCGGAGACAACATTTCGCCCTTGTTCCAAAACGTTTTTTTTTTTTTTTAAAGAATGGATGCGATGCTTTGGATGGCGGGTATTTCAAGCAAACATGGCTGACAAAACAACAGCTGCATTTCGCGGCGGGTACTGCTCTACCCAGAGCGAAACGTTGTGTGTGGCAAAGGTTTGCTCTACACCATAGGAAGAAATACCAGTGGAACAAGGTCTACAAGCCACTGTTATTGCAGGTAATGAGCACGACCGGCAGTCCCAAATCACACCCTGTCGTGTTCTTTAGAAGAAGGTTTACGGTGTTCCTGGTAGGGGGCGTGTTGGAGCAAGCGAGAGAGAGGAGTGTGTCCTTCACTCACGCTAGCCTCACGCTACTGGTAGGAGGGAGTTTACAGTGGGGAGAGTGTGCGTGGGAGAGTGGGACTACGTGAGAGTAAATGGGAGACAGGAAGGGAGGATATGGGAGGAACGAAGAGAGAATGAAAACTAGAGAAAGAGACATAAGTTAAAAACAAGAATTCCCTCTATCCACAAGAAAATCACCCGATGACATAAATCAATTAAAGCTACATAGAGAACAGAGCAAGTGTGACTTCTGGTCCACATGCTGCTCTAACTTCATCCTGTCTCCCCTGTGTTTCTTGATAATAAATAAAATATAAACCAAAGAGACCAGATGACAAAGCAAGAAAAAATAAACCTAAGACGTGTTCACACACACACACACACACACACACACACACACACACACACACACACACACACACACACACACACACGCACACACACACACACACACACACACACACACATATGCACACACACACACACACGCATACAATTGGATATTGAAGTCTCAGATGAGTCACAGAGATGTTAGGAGGTATTTCTTCAGTCACAGAGTTGTCAGGAATTGGAATAGTCTGGAAAGTGATGTGGTGGAGGCAGGATCCATGTATAGCTTTAAGAAGAGGTATGATAAAGCTCACGGAGCAGCGAGTGACCTAGTAGCGACCAGCGAAGACGCGGAACCAGGAGCTATGAATCGACCACTGCAACCACGATTAGGTGAATACACACACACACACCCACAGATAAGGCACAGTCACACCAATTCCTAGCCTCCTCCTCCTCCTCCTCCCTTTCCACTTCCTCTCCACATTCGCATCTTCGTCCTCACTTACATCAAATCCAAGAAAAAGAAGGAGACATCCTTCATAAAAAAAAAGGTTCATCAGTATCTCGTAAACACAGGTATCCACACAACTGGTAGACATCCATCTTGGAATTACACGACCAGGTAATAACTAGATCTTCTTCTCACGATTTCCAAGAACACGCACAAGGAAGCAGATATGCAGACAGGCAGGCAGATATGCAGACAGGCAGGCAGGCATGCAAGCAGGTAGGCAGGCGGACAGGTATGCAGGCAGAAAGGCAGGCAGGCGGACAAATATGCAGGTAGGCAGGCGGACAGGTATTCAGGTAGAAAGGCAGTCCGGCAGGCAGGCGGACAAGAATGCAGGAAGGCAGGCGGATAGGTATACAGGCAGGCAGGCAGAGGGACAGGCATGCAGGCAGGCATGCAGACGGACAGGCAGGCAGGCAGGTAGGCAGGCAGGCAGGCAGGCAGGCAGGCAGGCAGGCAGGCAGGCGAGCAGGCAGGCAGACGGACAGGCAGGCAGGCAGGCAGGCAGGCAGGCAGGCGGGCAGGCAGGCAGGCAGGCGGGCAGGCGGGCAGGCAGGCAGGCAGGTACACACGCAGCCAGGTAGGTTAACATATAAACGGGGGCAAGAAAACAGTCAGAACTTAGTAGAGGATGGCCCCCAGAAAATGACCCCGGAGAAAGGCCCCGGAAGACGGACCCGTGAGATACCCCCGGAGGCCGGTCCAAGGACATCACTTACAAGGACATCCACTAGTCCTTCTCCAAAGCCAAAATTTGCATGCCAGTTTTCTCCATCCTTACAGTAAGTAATGTACTATGAGACTTTCCCAAGTTTAAAACCACAGTTATTGAGTCGGGAGTCGATTCATGTAATTAATACCCGTCTTTTTATTAATCAGGGTAATAAAACATATTTCACTGTAATTTGAGAGCCTCGATTCAAACTGGGAATTAGGACTGCTATCTTTGCATATATTAATTTTGACAGTATGCTAATTTGGAAAAATGAGAGATATTTTTCTACGTCACATGAGGTTTATGTCTGTAATGTTTAGTCCATTAATTTAACTACATAAAAAAGGGAGCCTAAATAACATTTAACAGTTAACCGAAGCCGATTTTATCAGTTATCTTCATCCCAAGGTCACACGCTATCGCATTAAACCAGTTAACCGCAGTTCAGTGACAGCAATATTCTGTAACGAGCATTAACAGAATTTTCTGTACTCCAAGCGACCGCACATGTACGTCAACACTGACCGAGACCCAGAAGACCATTCAATATACAGGTTATTAACATATCTGATACTTCCTTAAAACAGGTTGGAAGACTCTCAACCCGTGGAAGATTTTTCAGTCACTTTCATGCAGAAGTTTAATGATAAACTCGTTAGAGAATCATGGTCCACAGAGCAACGAACAACTAACTTCTTGTTCCATCCTACACACATGATGGATGATGCTGGTATATACAGTATTTATTAGAAATATATATATATATATATATATATATATAAACACTGATCTCTGGCTGAAGGAGACTCGAACCTACGAACCTTAGGACAAGGTACGCAGTGCTTTACCAATCTACCCACTCTGGACAATACCTTGGCGTGTAGCTTGCGCTACACGTTTTGATCCAAGGCAGCCAGCTTTCAGGGAAAGCTGGCTGCCTTGTGGTAGATTGGTAAAGCACTGCGTACCTTGTCCTAAGGTTCTTAGGCTCGAGTCTCCTTCAGCCAGAGATCAGTGTTTGTGTATATTTCGCCTGCTCTCGCGAATTCCTTGCATATATATATATATATATATATATATATATATATATATATATATATATATATATATATATATATATATATATATATATATATATATATATATATATATATATATATATTATATATATATATATATATATATATTTTCAACAAGTTGGTCGTCTCCCACCGAGGCAGAGTGACCCAAAAAAGAAAGAAAATCCCCAAAAAGAAAATACTTTCATCATCATTCAACACTTTCACCACACTCACACATTATCACTGCTTTTGCAGAGGTGCTCAGAATACAACAGCTTAGAAGCATATACGCATAAAGATACACAACATATCCCTCCAAACTGCCAATATCCCAAACCCCTCCTTTAAAGTGCAGGCATTGTACTTCCCATTTCCAGGACTCAAGTCCGACTATATGAAAATAACTGGTTTCCCTGAATCCCTTCACTAAATATTACCCTGCTCACACTCCAACAGATCGTCAGGTCCCAAATACCATTCGTCTCCATTCACTCCTATCTAACACGCTCATGCACGCTTGCTGGAAGTCCAAGCCCCTCGCCCACAAAACCTCCTTTTACCCCCTCTTTCAACCCTTTCGAGGACGACCCCTACCCCTCTTTCCTTCCCCTATAGATTTATATGCTTTCCATGTCATTCTACTTTGATCCATTCTCTCTAAATGACCAAACCCCCTCAACAACCCCTCTTCTGCCCTCTGACTAATGCTATTATTAACTCCACACCTTCTCCTAATTTCCACACTCCGAATTTTCCGCATAATATTTACACCACACATTGACCTTAGACAGGACATCTCCACTGCCTCCAACCGTCTCCTCGCTGCTGCATTTACCACCCAAGCTTCACATCCATATAAGAGTGTTGGTACTACTATACTTTCATACATTCCCTTCTTTGCCTCCATAGATAACGTTTTTTGACTCCACATATACCTCAACGCACCACTCACCTTTTTTCCCTCATCAATTCTATGATTAACCTCATCCTTCATAAATCCATCCGCCGACACGTCAACTCCCAAGTATCTGAAAACATTCACTTCTTCCATACTTCTCCTCCCCACTTTGATATCCAATTTTTCTTTATCTAAATCATTTGATACCCTCATCACCTTACTCTTTTCTATGTTCACTTTCAACTTTCTACCTTTACACACATTCTCAAACTCATCCACTAACCTTTGCAATTTTTCTTTAGAATCTCCCATAAGCACAGTATCATCAGCAAAAGTAACTGTGTCAATTCCCATTTTGAATTTGATTCCCCATAATTTAATCCCACCCCTCTCCCGAACACCCTAGCATTTACTTCTTTTACAACCCCATCTATAAATATATTAAACAACCATGGTGACATTACACATCCCTGTCTAAGACCTACTTTTACCGGGAAGTAGTCTCCCTCTCTTCTACACACCCTAACCTGAGCCTCACTATCCTCATAAAAGCTCTTTACAGCATTTAGTAACTTACCACCTATTCCATATACTTGCAACATCTGCCACATTGCTCCTCTATCCACTCTATCATATGCCTTTTCTAAATCCATAAATGCAATAAAAACTTCCCTACCTTTATCTAAATACTGTTCACATATATGTTTCAATGTAAACACTTGATCTACACATCCCCTACCCACTCTGAAGCCTCCTTGCTCATCCGCAAATCTACATTCTGTCTTACCTCTAATTCTTTCAATTATAACTCTACCGTATACTTTTCCTGGTATACTCAGTAAACTTATTCCTCTATAATTTTTACAATCTCTTTTGTCCCCTTTCCCTTTATATAAAGGAACTATACACGCTCTCCGCCAATCCCTAGGTACCTTCCCCTCTTTCATAATTTTATTAAACAAAAGTACCAACCACTCCAACACTATATCCCCCCCCCTGCTTTTAACATTTCTGTCATGATCCCATCAGTTCCAGCTGCTTTACCCCCTTTCATTCTACGTAATGCCTCACGTACCTCCACCACACTTACATTCTGCTCTTCTTCACTCCTAAAAGATGGTATACCTCCCTGGCCAGTGCATGAAATTACCGCCTCCCTTTCTTCCTCAACATTTAAAAGTTCCTCAAAATATTCTCGCCATCTACCTAATACCTCCCTCTCCCCATCTACTAACTCCCCTACTCTATATATATATATATATTATATATATATATATATAATATATATATGTGTGTGTGTGTGTGTGTGTGGTGTGTGTGTGTGTGTGTGTGTGTGTGTGTGTGTGTGTGTGTGTGTGTGTGTGTGTGTGTGTGTGTGTGTGTGTGTGTGTGTGTGTGTGTGTGTGTGTGTGTGTGGGTGGGTGGGTGTGTGTGTGTGGGTGGGTGTGTGTACGCATTTGTACTCATCTGTTCATGATTGCAGGGGTCGATTCATAGCTCCTGGCCCCGCCTCTTCACTGGTTGTTACTAGGTCCTCTCTCTCACTCTTCCTGCTCCATGAGCTTTGTCATACCTCTTCTTAAAACTATGTATGGTTCCTGCCTCCACTACTTCACTTGCTAGGCTATTCCACTTCCTGACGACTCACTGACTGAAGAAGTACTTCCTAACATCCCTGTGACTCGTCTGAGTCTTCAGCATCCAATTGTGACCCCTTGTTTCTGTGTCCCCTCTCTGGAACATCCTGTCTCTATCCACCTTGTCTATTCCCCGCAGTATCTTGTATTTCGTTATCATGTCTTCCCTGACCCTTCTGTCCTCCAGTGTCGTCAGTCCGATTTCCCTCAACCTTTCCTCGTACGACATGCCCCTGAACTCTGGAACTAGTCTTGTTGCAAACCTTTGTACTTTCTCTAACTTCTTGACGTGCTTGACCAGGTGTGGGTTCCAGACTGATGCTGCATACTCCAATATGGGCCTAAAATACACAGTGTACAGTGTCTTGAACGATTCCTTATTAAGGTATCGGAACACTGCGTGCGTGTGTGTGTGTGTGCGTGTGTGTGTGTGTGTGTGTGTGTGTGTGTGTGTGTGTGTATGTGTGTATGTGTGTGTGTGTGTGTATGTATGTGCAAAATAACACATACACACACACACACTTCATCAGTGCCAGGGAGAGATCAGAGGCAGTTTGCAAGAAATTAAACACTTTTCTGTAACAGTGCATTTTACGACTGGTTGGTTTTGCTACCATAACTATAATTTGCAGTGTGTGGCTGGTGACGCTGTGGGTGATGGACGCTACTGTTCCCATGAGTTCTATGGCTGTGTCATCGTGACCTTTCTTTTGTAGGAATATACATCTCTAGGTTACCCCCCCCCATCCCACACGTCTTCCCCAACTTCCGCTCCCCCTCATTCCGATAAGGTTAATGTATATCATCATTATCTGTCATATCACAAACATCTCCGTACACACTCCTTCTCCACCTATGTTTAACCTTTTCCCACACACACACTCCTCCCCTACCTCTTCCCCACCTCCCCTCCCTCTCCGCGATGGTTCTCCAGGTACCCCAATCATCGCCCTGTCCTTCCACTGCTGGTCGGGTATATATAGATGCTCCCAGGACCGCTGCAGTCATCCTCAGCTGATCCTCACAACGACAACATGCACTTCGTAAGTAACAGTCGACGACAATACTGAAGCAAAATGAAACTTTTATTCATATTTAAATCTTATTTTGCCTAATTATTTCGCAAAATTCGTCCTCATATTTTCATGGGCAGATTACTTGCTGTTTTTATGCATAATAATTATCCTCTTGCATAACTGGTTAGGATGTTCGGCGTTAGCTTTAAAACGACCATTTACATTCTGTAATAATCCCCTTTTAAACAGAACAGAGCATCTATTACTCTCTTATTACAAGATTAATCCGCTTTCTTTTCAATAATGAGATCAATATTCACTTTAAAATAGCTGATTCACTTTAAAGGATACGTAAATGTAATTCTAATCACTCGAGACCGTTACTTCTCATTATATTCCTCGTGTCTGAAAACATTATTTTACCAACACATAATTTCATCTTCTCTACTATACTATTGTCTCTTATATTATAGTAATAAATAAAAGCATTTACAAAAGAAGTGCGACTGAAGGATATAGAGAATACAGTCTACTCACTTGTGTACCGTTCTCTCATCTAAATTACACACATACACAAAAGAGCAAATCGCGTCCCTCTTTTAACTTTTCTCGTGATTCACAAAAACTAGTTGGGTTATTCTCGAGGAGGAAACCTGAGGTGGTATGAACACTTGGTGGTATCAACACCACTCTCAAACATTACACACTGCCCTCAACACCACTCTCAAACATTACACACTGCTCTCATCACTACTCTCAAACATTACACACTGCCCTCACCACCACTCTCAAACATTACACACTGCCCTCACCACCACTCTCAAACATTACACACTGCCCTCACCACCACTCTCAAACACCACACACTGCCCTCACCACCACTCTCAAACATTACACACTGCCCTCACCACCAATCTCAAACATTACACACTGCCCTCACTACTACTCTCAAACATTACACACTGCCCTCATCACCAATCTCAAACACCACACACTACCCTCACCACCACTCTCAAACATTATACACTGCCCTCATCACCCCTCTCAAACATTACACACTTCCCTCACCACCACTCTCAAACAACACACACTGCCCTCATCACCACTCTCAAACATTACGCATTGCCCTCACCACCACTCTCAAATATTACACACTGCCTCACCACCACTCTCAAACATTACACACTGCCCTCACCACCACTCTCAAACATTACACACTGCCCTCAGCACCACTGTCAAACATTACACACTGCCCTCACCACCACTCTCAAACACCACACACTGCCCTCATCACTACTGTCAAACATTACACACTGCCCTCACCACCACTCTCAAACACCACACACTGCCCTCACCACCACTGTCAAACATTACACATTGCCCTCACCACCACTCTCAAACATTACACACTGCCCTCACCACCACTCTCAAACATTACACACTGCCCTCACCACCACTCTCAAGCATTACACACTGCCCTCACCACCAATCTCAAACATTACACACTGCCCTCACCATCAATCTCAAACATTACACACTGCCCTCACCACCAGTCTCAAACATTACACACTCCCCTCACCACCACTGTCAAACATTATACACTGCCCTCACCACCACTCTCAAACACCACACACTGCCCTCACCACCACTCTCAAACACCACACACTGCCCTCATCACCACTCTCAAACATTACACACTGCCCTCACCACCACTCTCAAACATTACACACTGCCCTCACCACCACTGTCAAACATTATACACTGCCCTCACCACCACTCTCAAACACCACACACTGCCCTCACCACCACTCTCAAACATTACACACTGCCCTCACCACCACTCTCAAACATTACACACTGCCCTCACCACCACTCTCAAACATTACACACTGCCCTCACCACCACTGTCAAACATTACACACTGCCCTCACCACCACTCTCAAACATTACACACTGCCCTCACCACCAATCTCAAACATTACACACTGCCCTCACCACCACTCTCACATAGTACCTGTCGTGAACGCATACAAGCTTCATCATCAATGTTCTTCCATAATTTCCTGATGCGTTACTGTGCTCCTTCTCACTGGCAATCTTAACGTCAACTGCGAACCAATTTTTAGTTTACATAATTTGAGATGGTCGTGGAATAAAATTAAGCAGTAAAAGTGATTACTAAAAATCCTTAAAATCCTAGGCAGGCAGACGTCATCCACTCCAAACAGTTCACTGAATTTAATTTTAGGCTTTCAACTTGCATTTAATGAAAGCAGTCTACTCAGCGAATGAGGCTAGCAATCATTATTCAGTGCAAACACTTCCCTGCACGAGCTTATGTACATAACAAGATTTTAAGTCCACCTAAACATTGAGCTTAATATAGCTGCAGAATAACTGTTGACAGACTGCAGCTCACGAATAACCTTGATTCTTTAAGCTGAGATAGTAAAGATGAACGACAGACTTTGGTGACTGCTGTCTCCGTCTTCTTCTAATGCCATATGCTCTCATTACAAATTCTTTGTTTCTCCTGCAGGTGCTCTTGGTCTGCCTCGCCTCCCTGGCTCTCGCCCTCCCTCAGGGAGATCCTCGCGACGTCGAAGCTGTCATCGTAAATGACGTCAGAAGCGACAACGGCGATGGAAACTTCAATCACGAGTTTGAAACTAGCAACGGAATCTACTCGCAAAACACCGGCACCCCGGGATCAGAAGGACAGAGCAACATGCAGGGCTCCTTCAGGTAAGATACACATTTCACTGACGGAAAATGATTTTCATGAATAAAATGACCAGTTTCTTCGCATATTCGTGAAAATTTAACATTGTTTTACAAGAGAGGAACATATTTAAAAAAATCATGTTATACCTTCCTTAGGTTCACTCTTCCCGACGGCACCATCGCTGAGGTCCGCTTCATCGCCAACGAGAACGGATACCAGCCCCAGTCCGACATCTTCCCCAATCCTCACCCACTTCCCCCCCATGCCGTCGAGCAGATCCGCGTCGCCGAGGAGCAGCGCCGTCAAGGCATTACTTTCGACAAATAAATACGAGATCGACCTTCTCCTCGACTTTTGCTGCTGATTTCCCCTGTATATGGTAAACTCGTGGCGACAGGCTAAAAAATTTTGGGTATTCTCCATCACATCCACTCCTGGATACTATTCACCCTTTTCACCCATGTACATTAAATGAAATATATGCATTTCCTATCTATTATTATAAATTCCTAGCACTGTATTTGACATTATACTAACAAAATATATTTGTGTTTGTATATATATATATATATATATATATATATATATATATATATATATATATATATATATATATATATATATATATATATTATATATATATATATATATATATATATATATATATATATATATATATATATATATACACATAGGGAGGTACCACCTCTGTAACTGGACTGGGCACCCTCATCCTCAGAGAAGACAATAAAAGTACCTCATGGAGAGAGAGATAAAGAGAGACAAAGAACTGTGTAAGTCAATGAAATCGCTGGAATGTCACAGGAAGTCAGGTGGTCGGGGGATGAGCTTTGATGAGGTAATGTTCCAACTCATGATAAACGTTCGGATTTGGAAGTTTCCTCTATTTAATCAGCCACTTCATTGCCAGTCGTAAGTCAGCATGTTTTTTTCAATTTGCTGATGCGTGGTTAAAAATGCGTTTTTATAGATTTTTGTAATCTAAGTAACCTGAACCTGAACGTAAAAATTATTTAAACGAAATGTCAAATATCGATATAGTAAAAGGAGATTTTATTGAATGTACAGTAGTTAGTCAGGTATTTCTGGGTGGAATTAGTCTTTTCACGTTTAGTACTGGAATATATCTTCTTCTTAAGAAAATTTCAATATCACATTCAGTGTCTCTTGTGGTCTAAACTGATGCTATAGTGACGATTATGATCGATTCTATTGTTTTATCTTGATAATGCTAATCTAACCTGTGTTAGTGTCATTCAGCCAGGATTGGTGTTATGTGAGGCACACACAAGAACATGGAAGTTACACAGATAATAGGATCAGATGTCAAGTCAAATCAATGAACTCTAGGTTGATATAACGTGTGACTGACAGTAAGTTCTGACTCAGTCTCCCTGTATTACTGTTGTGAGTATTTATGTACAAAATTATGGAAAATCCCCAGACATTATGAAATTTCTAGTAGCCTGTGAGATGTACAAATATGACAATTAACTCATTTATCCAGCTAAAACACAAACGTAACACGTGTTTTACAGGCACAATTAGCTTAGTTTCTTTTCGGGAGGTTTATGGGTTTTACTGTCATGCCCTGCTTACGGGATAAAGCAATACGTTTCTTGGATCACACAGCGACCAAAACACATTTAGTTTAATACTGAATCTGACGGGATTTTATTTAAAAAATAGTTGTTTTTATGTTTTATTTCTTCAGTCTAAGGTAAATAATAACCGGTTAAATTTTTTAACAGCTAAATGTATTACTCTGGTAAAGATTATTGACAACAGCTAGCTGGTTTTCACGACCCAGAGTACTTTTATAGCTACGTACAGTACTGTGTCGTGCTACGTCCACGGCTTACCAACAGTACTGTGTCGTGCTACGTCCACGGCTTACCAACAGTACTGTGTCGTGCTACGTCCACGGCTTACCAACAGTACTGTGTCGTGCTACGTCCACGGCTTACCAACAGTACTGTGTCGTGCTACGTCCACGGCTTACCAACAGTACTGTGTCGTGCTACGTCCACGGCTTACCAACAGTACAGTGTCGTGCTACGTCCACGGCTCACCAACAGTACTGTGTCGTGCTACGTCCACGGCTTACCAACAGTACTGTGTCGTGCTACGTCCACGGCTCACCAACAGTACTGTGTCGTGCTACGTCCACGGCTTACCAACAGTACTGTGTCGTGCTACGTCCACGGCTTACCAACAGTACTGTGTCGTGCTACGTCCACGGCTTACCAACAGTACTGTGTCGTGCTACGTCCACGGCTTACCAACAGTACTGTGTCGTGCTACGTCCACGGCTTACCAACAGTACTGTGTCGTGCTACGTCCACGGCTTACCAACAGTACTGTGTCGTGCTACGTCCACGGCTTACCAACAGTACTGTGTCGTGCTACGTCCACGGCTTACCAACAGTACTGTGTCGTGCTACGTCCACGGCTTACCAACAGTACTGTGTCGTGCTACGTCCACGGCTTACCAACAGTACTGTGTCGTGCTACGTCCACGGCTTACCAACAGTACTGTGTCGTGCTACGTCCACGGCTTACCAACAGTACTGTGTCGTGCTACGTCCACGGCTTACCAACAGTACTGTGTCGTGCTACGTCCACGGCTTACCAACAGTACTGTGTCAGTAAAAAGAAGAAAATGAAACTAACACAGTAGAATTTTTTATTTTACCCCTATTTCTTCATTAGAATATACATACTCAACATATACATACAAAATTCACTACATTCATAAAGAACCAATATGATGTGAACCAGCTTGAGAAGGTCTGAGTTCCTAGAGTATTCCACAACCTGAGACTATCAGTTAGCTCCAGCACTGGTGGTTGACCAGACCAGCTAGGGTCGTTAACTAACCACTAGGCAGCTCTGGCCCACCGCGCAATAAGCAGGCTGAGATGATTTGCAGCATCGTGGTTTTGTATTGCGTGCGTGGAACACAGGGTAACATACACCATTACAACGATCCATGGTACGCAGCAATGCGAGGTGCATCACAGTGATGCACGCGGTGCATGCAACACCGATGCCGACATCGTCAGTTGTCTTCATCCCGTAATCACACACCAACACAGTTAATACAACGATTCGTGAGTGGCAATTTCCTGTAATGAGCATTATATCAGTCTTTGGACGCCATCACGGAGACGGCTCAGTACATTTTATGCGACATCACATGTGCATCTATACTGGCCGACACTCGCATCTATACTGTGTTCTGCATCCATAGTGGCCGACACTTATCTCCAACAGTAGATAGGAAAGAGGTGGTGTCACCAGCTTTTTCCAGCAACTCAGTGTTACGACTGAGAGTAAATACCTGCTGAAGCCTAAATATGAGCCCGACCTTTGATCTTTTGATGATGATTTTGAAATGCAGTTGATGACATATATATTTATATATTTGTATGGTATGTTTAACATCCATCCCTTTGTAGTCATCCTAATTTAATAAAAGGGCAGTACAGGGAAATACTTAAGTGGCCCCAATGAGAAAGTCTAAGAATTGTCTTAGAAGTCTTATTCTTGCTTCCGAGGTTATGGGCCACAGCTACCCTGCAGGGAGTCAAGAGTCGTCGATCCCACTGCCTGTACTCTCCTTGGTGCTCCACTTGGGTCTAACGCCATTGGTGAGATCTTGGGAAAAAATCTGACTTCAAGCGGATGGAAACCAGGATGATACTAATGCCCATGATACCTCTGTCTTCACCAGGTGCCCATCTCTCCCTAAGCCATCATACATTTTTACGATGCTCTCCATCCTCTGTCAGCCCCAAACTGGGAGAGTACGAATCTCTCCTAAAATCCATTCTAGAAAAAGTTCTAAGAGAACTGCAGTGAAAGCAAGTTTCAGGTCAAATTAGGTAGACTGGGCATACGTACAGTCTCTCAGAATGCCTTGCCAGCTTTCCTATCCTCCCCAACGGATCCAACGAACTGAAAGAATTTATACTAGAACTTACCAGTGTTAGAAAGAGGGAGACAAGAGGAGAGAAAATACTAGAACTAACCCGTGCCTCGGGTATGACCCACTTCCACTGGAGATTCCCGCCCACCAGTGACTATGCTCTCCATCTTCCACCAGTATAAAAGCAGCAGCCTTCTTACCTGTGGTCCAGAATCTTCACGACCACGGTGCTCTCAACACCAACTTCAAGGCCGAGAGACTGATTACCTCATTTCTTGTATATAGTTCTACTGTCTTTTAATCATGTCCTAGAATTTGTATTGATAAAGCCACTGGATGGCGAAACGTCTACAATAAAGATACCCAGATGTTGCACATGTGTCTAAAATTTTCAACTTGTCGGTATTGTATACCGTTCATGTACAGAATGATAGACTGCTGGTGAGGGAATATATTTGTGCATTTAACGTTGCCGAAATCTACATCTCATATAGAGCTGGTCTTTAGAAAACGCTGCTGTATCTTGGGTTCCCGACCGGTGTCTCAGGAGATCAAGGAAATTCACAACTTGAATTAAGTTTCCATTCTTTGCCATTCTATATGTAAATAGATCCCTGAACTATTGATTGTACTCATCACTACGTGAAAGCATGTTCAGTTATTCACACACACACACACACACACACACACACACATGTGTGTGTGTGTGTGTGTGTGTGTGTGTGTGTGTGTGTGTGTGTGTGTGTGTGTGTGTGTGTATGTGTGTATGTGTGTGTGTGTATGTGTGTGTGTGTGTATGTGTGTGTGCGTATGTGTGTTGTGTGTGTGTGTGTGTGTGTGTGTATGTGTGTGTGTGTATATGTGTGTGTGTGTGTGTGTGTGTGTGTATGTGTGTATGTGTGTGTGTACTCACCTAGTTGAGGTTGCGGGGGTCGAGTCCGAGCTCCTGGCCCCGCCTCTTCACTGGTCGCTACTAGGTCACTCTCCCTGAACCATGAGCTTTATCGTACCTCTGCTTAAAGCTATGTATGGATCCTGCCTCCACTACATCGCTTCCCAAACTATTCCACTTCCTGACTACTCTGTGGTTGAAGAAATACTTCCTAACATCCCTTTGATTCATCTGTGTCTTCAGCTTCCAACTGTGTCCCCGTGTTGCTGTGTCCAGTCTCTGGAACATCATGTGTGTGTGTATGTGTGTGTGTGTATGTGTGTGTATGTGTATGTGTGCGTGTGTGTGTGTGTGTGTGTGTGTGTGTGTGTGTGTGTGTGTGTGTGTGTATGTGTGTGTGTGTGTGTATGTGTGTGTGTGTGTGTGTGTTTGTGCGTATGTGTGTGTGTGTGTGTGTACGTGTGTGTGTGTGTGTGTGTGTGTGTGTGTGTGTGTGTGTGTGTGTGTGTGTGTGTGTGTGTGTGTGTGTGTGTGTGTGTTATGTGTTTTAGATTGTCATCGTTTGTCTCATCACTCCATCTTCATACAGTTC